GCACAGCAACACATCTGCTCAAATATTGTCACATCATAACACTGTCACACTTAAGAAAAATTAACTTGTTAATCTGACAATAAAAAGCTTTAAAACATCCAATTTTTTGCAACAACAAACACCAATCCGATAACAGGCGTTTCAGGCTGAGGTATCAAACCTGTCTGATGTAGCACTGAGTGTTTGTTGTTCATAACTTCACACATCAGAGCGGCTCCTGCAGTCCGCACGTTTCATCACATCTAGCCTTTTCATTTTCATCCAAATAACTCACGACAAAGACCCCCTTACTTGAATGTCTCACTGATGCGCGTGAAGTCATAGTGCGTAAAAATACAAGTCGTTAAAATGCAAACACCCCGTACCAATTTACTCACCGACCGGCTGCAGTTTCTCTTCTTAAGGCTTCGAGCAAACATGACAGCGTGAGGAATTGAATGTCAAAGCGTAGTGAAACGGGTCACCGAGTCAATATGAGAGAGCACCGGTAGAAATTCTCATCCCTGCGCGCGCTCTCTCGGCTCTTTCAGTCCGTCCCATCAGTTTTGCTGCGAGCTTGTGAATGAAATTGCTGCATTACCAGGCACGCCAGCGGTTTGTTGAACTATCCCGCTAATTGTTAGGTACGTTCCTGTGTTAAAGTGTGAGACCTTTTCTCTAATTGCAATTATATAAACCACAGATAGCGTAATTGTTTCAAAGGTAAGTTTTGAGTCTCTGTGTACAATTGTTTTTAGACAAAAATCAATTTGTGAATTGTTTCATTTGATATGTAACGTAGGCTATACAAAGCGTTGAAACTACAATTGTGAGTGTATATTGGTTTCCAAATTTGTGGATGGTAAATTCTAACTGGTTTACCATTTTAAATAAAAAGTTTTTATAAATTGGCTATGGGTGATGATATAATAATTATTTTGAAAATGTTTGCATGCTTAAACTTAAAATGGATAGGCCTATTTTATTTATTTTATATTTATTATTTGCTTGCAACACCTAGGACCTAGGTCATTGGTTTGATTCGCAAGTAGGCTAATGCATGAACTGATAAAAATCATAAAATTTAAGTCCTTCTAAAAGTGGCAAAGCGTTTCATCTCTTTTTTTTTGCTCTCGTTTAGTAAGATGCACTTAGAGCAAAAGGAGATCAACAAATAAGGACACTTGCAGAGACATTTCCTTGATCCTTTGTGAAAAGGTCTTGGTTTTCAATATTCAAGTGGAGCTCAAAGAGCAAGCTCAGTATTTCTGTGTAGGAGTATGTGCAGTGAATACCACACAAAACTGATAGAAAAGACTTAAAAGAGCTGTAAAAACCTCACTCCAATTCACCACGAAGTTTTCTACAACTTTTAATGCAGTCAGCCTTTAACCTAATGTAAATAAAAGTTTGTGAAACAATACGATGAGTATTGAATCACAGAATCTCCTCTGGCCAATCTTAACGCAGTCTGTTTCAATAGACATGAGTCTGAAGAAACAAGGTAACTTGTACTTTAATAAACATTATCAAATATTTACTGAACTCTATTTTTCTGAGAAGAATTCAGGTATATTAACTAGCTCATAGGTTTAATCAAAGACAGTCTTTGTCAAAGATGTTCACCGTTGAGGAGTTTCAGTGACACTGAATCCAGCGGAGTTTCAACTATGTCTCCTGCAGGTGTTTAGTGAAAGTTGTGTAATAAGCTTTTGTGTCGTCATGGTGACAGTAAACATTATCTTAAATGAGTTCTGAGTGCTTCACCTGTAAAATGTAATCTTTCAAAGCCTCAAATATACAAAAGAGGGCACACAAGAGTTTTAAACGCCTCAGACTAAATAACTATTAAAAGACTCCAAAAACGATACACAAAAATGTTGAACACATCATTGAGCAAAAGGAACCTTAAAAAAAAAAAGAAAAAAAAATTGACTACAAAGATGGGTGAATCTCACAACACAAGGCCCAGTTGTATTTTACCCAAAAATCTATAGAAATTATATTGACGAAATAGAAAGTCACATTTTGCATAAAGCAAATACTGACAAATATTTAATTGATTATTTTTGTCTATCTGCCCGCATCATATTAATAACATCACAACATCATTTTAAAGGGAATTTATCTGCAAGGCATTATATTTGAACAACAAAGACTATCATAGACTTTATCAAGACAAATTTATTGCGTCAAATCATTCTGTTATACATAATTGTACACAACTCATTATAATCATCACCATTAAGCAGCTCAGCTGAAATGTATCATTTTACAGTAACAAAGATGGATTGAAAAACAGTTTAAGACATTTTTAAAAATTATATTATTTTGTATAAAAAGGTTTAAAACGCATTTGAAATACGTATTACTTTTCTGGAAATGTCTAATTTTCTTCACATGCACACCAGAAATTAACTGGTATATAGTGATTTGATACACATTTATTTACAAATTACAATAATGGCTTCAGGCATTCAGCATTACTCAATAACATCAGTTTTGTGCCATATTTAATACTTTAATACTTTCTTTTATTTATTATCAATAATGCACCAATCATACTGGTATCAATAATACTGACATTAGCTGGAAAAAATGACTTTGTTATTGCCTTCTTGCATCATTGACAAATTATTTTCCTATTTGACACTAAGAAAGCTCCGTCAGTTTTTTTTACTTTAACTTTCTCCATAGTGAATTGACTGACGTTCACCGGCATAACTCTTGCACACAGTTTGCGCGTTGCTTGTGTTGCTTGACGCCTCCCCCATAATTTCAGTTTATATGCCACATATTAGGCACATCTTTTTTTTTTTTTTTTTAGGTTTTTAGGTTTTTAATGTTTAAAATGTTTGTTGCTAATGAACGTGACACCAAAAAACAGGAACATCATTAGGAAATCAGTGTTGTATAAAGCGCTACACAAATAAAGGTGACTTGACTTGACCAATAGATTGTAATGTACCAATGAATTATCACCCTAATAAATACACAGTACAAAAATATACACATATAATGGCAGTGCAGTTATCAGTGAAATATGTAATTTGCTACGACAATAATTACACAATAAGTTTTGAAACAGATAAAAGCTTACAACAACAGGCACGGCTGAGGTAGAACTTAAAAAAAATGATAAAAAAATAAAAAAACATTACATCACACTGCACTACACCCAGAGATGTCGCCTCTTCCAGTCTGCTTCTAGCAACAGACTTGTTCTGACATTTGGTTGTTTTTGATATTTGGAAGACCTAAATTCATCCACAACATTTAATGCATACTTCTTAAACCAACTTGATTTTCTTTAGGCTATTAAACACTCTCAAAATATACAGCTTGAGCAATGAACAAGATGACACTCCACACTCTCAGAATAAAAGGTACAACCCACAAAGCTCTCCCTGGGATGGTACCCTAAGGTACAAAACCTATTTTTACTTTATTTACCCCTAAATGGTACAATGTTTGTACAACAAAATCTAGGCGTTAAAACTATTTAGTTAATGCTTGTACAATTTGGTCTATAGCAAAATATTTAAAAGGTACATAAAAGTACCTACAGTGTACATATTAGTATCCTTTGAAAGCTATCACCCCAGTGACAGTTTTGTACCTTTTTTTCTGAGAGTGCAAAAAAAAAAAAGTTTGTAATGCCGTTGTATCTTAATTCTCATTTCATAACCCTTCATCTAATTCCAACGTGCAACCTACAAAAACAAATTCCTCACTTTTTACTTAGCTTCTCTTTCCCCTTCTCAGATATTCATCTGAACTCTACTCTTCTATTGAGATGTTTATTGCTCTGTCAGAACATACATCTGAACACATCAAGGTCACATCCTGTCTCTAGCCTTCTTTAGACTGGTGACAGCTAGATAAGCTTTACTTCGTTCTACAAGGTAAATACAAAATTTACCAGACACCACATCTTAGTCTAAATTAAAGACGACATATAAAGTCTGTATATCATCTTATTGTGCAATATTAATGTGTGCATATTTTTGAATCACTGAATTTTCCCAACAAATATGCCATTCATAAATAAATAGGAATAACACACTATTGTTCAAAAGCTTGGAGTTTTTTTTTAATTGAGAATTTAATTGATCAAAAGACAAAAACACAAGATTTCTATAAAAAATAAAAAAAAAGGTACCACGGCTTCCACAAAAATATTAGGCATCACAACTGTTTTCAACACTGATAATTAAAGAAAAAAAAAAAGTTTCTTAAGCATCAAATCAGCATATTAGAATGATTTCTGAATGATCACGTGATACTGAAGACTGGAGTAATGGCTGCTGAAAATTCAGCTTTGCATCACAGGAATACATTTTATTTTAAAATATATTGAAATTGAAAACAGTTATTTTACATTTTAATATTTCACAATAATACTGTTTTTACTATATTTTTAATCAAATTAATTGGTAAGCACTAAAAAAATAAAAAAAATAAAAATAAAAATAATGATTTTTTTTTTTTTTTTTTTTTTTAAACCCAGACTTTTGTTTTGAATGGTCATGTAAATGTTTCTTTCATATTCAGTTAAATGGATTAGTCTGAGACCAAATTTATAGTAGTCTTAGGTGAAACTACAGTTGTTCAAACATCCTATTCATAACTAAAATGTTCCTTAGTGTTTTACACAGAAGAAAACCACTGAATAGTCAGAATTCCACTTCCTTGGACATAACGCGTTCCATTTGTCAACAACTGTAAACAGACTGTGTGTTCTGGACTGTGACAATGCTTCATTCATTTAGGCTTACTCTGCTTATATTGCTTTCTCTGGAATTTTCTAGAATTAATTGATAAAACAGATAATAAAATATGAAGATAAATATAAGATAAATAAATAAATAAATGGCAGTTACGTGCAATTAATATATATCTTCAAATATAATGGAATTTTAAAAACAAAAGAAAATTCTAACACTTCAGATGACTAAAATTCTGTTAGCATTGCTATTTCCCCAAATGCTGTTCTTTTGTTCATCAAAATCCCCAAATCCCAGATCCCAGAAACTCTACTGCCACCCTGTGGATACAAGAACTACATGCAAAGTTTTCTTAAGCGTTTTGTAATATAGCTAACACACTAAAATAATAATTTAGAGAAATTTTAACCCCAAGGGAAGGGCTTGTGCATGAAAACGCACCTCAACTGACTTCAACTAAAGATTAAAAATAAAATTATCTCTTCTGCACGTCCTCCAGAGCTCTTGACTTATAATAGTGGATCATTTTGAATGGATTCTGTTTAATCTCTGCCCAAATTTGTCCCTCTGCTGATTTCAAGAAGGATTGACTCTGCACAGCAGCTGCTCAGTTGTGTTCCAGCAACAGGACACGTGTACCGAATAAGACTGATGAGGTACTACATATGCTTGAAAACAAATTCTAAGCCAAAATTGGACAATATACTTCATTTACTATTCATTCAGAGTGCTACCTAGCCAGGAACAAGACATGCTCTAGTGAACTTCCACACATTTTACTCTTACCATTAGTTCTTCTGGTGTGCAATAGTTAAATTCTTAAGGTATGCAAATTTATTACAAAGAACCATATTTATGCATGATTTCAGTGTGTGAGTTAGTGTTTTTTTAAGTTAAGAACATTGTGGTGGAGTTACCCGAGACTTGTGTATGTCAGCTGTGGCGTTGTTCCCTTCAGAAATCCACCTAGTGCTATCTGTCATCCTGAATCCTGTTCCTGAGAGGTTGATCCTGAAACAGCCCTGAAAAATGCAAGCACATTTTTTGTGCAGTCACAACATTTGACCTCGTAGCAAAAGGTGGCAGTAGTAGCGATTTTTAACATTTACACTAAAATGTGGATGAGAACTAATCAAAGACAAACAGAAAACTAACCAAAGACAAACATGTTATACAAATGTTTATTTATATTAGAAATAACAAATGTTATAAGTGGTAAAGTGATTTAAGAAAAAAAAAAATCTAATATCTTTCAGATGTTACAGGTTGTTAGATTGTTGCTTATTTCCAGAGTGTGCAAATTAAAAAAGAACAAAAAAAGAAAAGGTATTTCTGGTTTTAAAGGGGTCATATGATGCTTTTTTTAAAGATCATTATTTGGTGTATTTGGTGTAACAGAATATGTTGACATGCTTTAATGTTCAAAAACACATTGTTTTTCAAATACTGTACATTATTGTAGTTCCTCTATGCCCCGCCTCTCTCAAACGCTTCGTTTTCTACAAAGTCCCTCCTTCCGACAAGCGCAGTCTGCTCTGATTGGCCAGCTGACCCAGTGCATTGTGATTGGCCGAACACCGCAAGCACTCGTCGGAAATGTAACGCCCCTTACCATAATCGCGAGCTTCATCTTTCAAAATAAATGTAAAGACAGTAAATAATGTAATTAGTTTTACCATCAGTTCAAGCCCGAAAGGGGAACAGAGTCGTGTGACAGACACAGTGATGAAGCTGGTATGTGTTTGCAGTACACAAGCCACGGTTAAGACAGCTGACTCCACTGTGATGTGACCCCCCCCTCTCTCTCTCTCTCTCACTCTCACTCACTCACTCTCACACACATTCACACACATGAACACACACACTTTGTCATCTGTCTCTCACTTACATGGAGAACTTTTACACCACCTCTGCAGTGGTGTGGGTTGTTCTTGAGGCTGCAAACTGAAACTTTTATTGATCTCAACTTGTTCTGTCTCTTCTCTACTCTATACCATCATCGTATTTACTCTCCTAACCTCTCATATGGCTGTCATTCATTAAAAACTGCATCTGTGTGCAAACTGCTCTGTTGTGAATGAGCTTTAAATGGATGCATGTGACTAACACTGCTGCTGGAATCCGGCTGGAAAACGTTTCAGGGTCCAGAATGATGACCAGTACAGAACAAATAAGAAAAATGCCGGCACATTATAACCACTACACTACATAAACAATGACTATACTTTGCCCTGGAGAAGGGGTCTCCATCTACCCAAACTGATTCAGTAAGAGAAAAGAGAGACATTTATCTCTGTAGTGCAGACTTTCCCCCAAAGAAGCAATTCTAAAGTCTGTGTTTCCACTCAGTCTAGAACCAGGGACTTTTCAGGTGTTAGGCAACCGTGACAACCACTACACTACAAAAAAATGTCACATTGTTTATATAAGTGTTTTATTTTGATTTAGTTTCAGGAACTCACAAACCCCCTGCAGTTCCCCCACAGACCCCCGGGCAGTGATAGTAATGGGAGCAGCTGTTTCCGTAGTGTAGTGGTTGTCACGTTTGCCTAACACACGAAAGGTCTCAGGTTCGAGACCAGGCGGAAATAAGGATTTTAGATTTTGTTCTTTGGGGCACATAAAAATTCCTGTCCCAATTATCTACTGTTTTTTTGAAAAACACCATGGTTGTGTGGTAATTTAATTGCCATCCGAGTCCGCACCTCTGAGAGAGGATAAATCAAAAAAGTTTTGTAAATCATTTTTGATGACAGCCAAGCTCTGTTGCATGTATCTGTTGCGCTTTATGGTAATGTGCACACACTTTAAACATGGACACTTTTATTATTGAAATGTTGGAAACTGTTTACTAGAATAATATTAAAGTCCACATGAACCGGAAGTTGGTACCTACTTTACCTCAGTATTGAGGATCTTAAACGGTATCTGTCTCAAAGGCCAGATCCATTGCCAGTTTTGATAGAGGATGACAATACTGTTGGATTTGGAATAAGAGCACAAGACACTTGGAGGAAAATTTGGGATACCAGGGCAGACGGATATGCTTTCTTTATAATGAAGCAGAAGTGTGTTCCAGGAAGCAAAATGTACAACTTGCAGCAGTATCTTTTAAAACAGCAGCAAAATCAGCTGACGATAAACACTCCTCCGTTGCCCTCACCACCAGCTTCCACTGCAACACGTTTTAATCTTTGTGCACACAGTTCATTCATTATATGTTAATAGTTCTAAAAGTTTTTTTTTGATGAAAAACGATTACAAATTCCTTTAAAGGTATTTGTGGCCGAGGCGGGATTCAAACCTCTAATTGTGTGTTGTTTA